TAAGTTTCTTTACTTACATATATATTAATTGTACAAGTATCTACATTAAATAAACCGTTCGTACGAGTGTAATCCCAACGAACTATCGTAACTTTGCCCCAAAACCCTAAGATTCCTGACATATGTCTAATAAAATACTTGGCAATTTGTATGATCTTATATTTGTTTTTGGACATTATTCTTATTCTAAATTATTATATTCTATGAATCAACGACTATATAGCCTAATATAAATATGTGGGAATAGTATAAAGAGTGTCCGGTGCTCAATAGTAAAGCGCTCGTGGGCAGGTAGAGCGGGCTAAACTGAATTAAAAAATCCTCTATCATTTTACAATTTTCACAATAGTTATCGAGATATTAATTTATAAAGATCGTCGAATGCGAGACTACCATGCGTTAAGCGACCACGATTGATTAACAAGTCCCCCCCCTCTCTGCGCGCCACACGTTAGACGATCGCGGTCAGCGACTTGAAAAAATGCCTGTTCCTGAAATTGGTATAGGGCAGACTGTTTCTATATAGTACATATAAACCAGTATTAAACCTAATATATAACTTTACTACGTTATTATCTCAAAACTTTTCCACAATTTCTCGGATAAATGATGGTTATTTTTGTACTTCTTAAGATCAAAGAAAGAATTTATGTATTTTTTAGGTTCCATCGCGAAACTGAATTTATTTGGTCCTCTTCTGATTTAAGTATTGTAAATATCACTATGACCTGGTATCTCTACTTAAAGATATCGATATACCTGGATAAATGATCAGATTCCGATTATAAAATACTGCAACTAAAAGGTATTATCTATAGCCTTGTATAACTTCGGACGAGTGTCTTTTTTCGACGGCACCTTCTGCTGGTTTTTGCTTATGACATACGTCAGTTTTTTGAGCTCGCGATTCCAGTACCTATTTGAACAAAAAATGCTTTAAGATTCTAGAAGAGTCGGAATTGATTTGTTGTTAAGTTTTATTAATTTTACTTCTTCCGCATTCTGCTGCATTCAGATTTTTAAAAATATGTAATATAAAATAATGATAACGACTGTACATAGATTTCAGAAAAATTCATATAGAATTTATTAGATTTAATAGTAAACTTTAATTGCATTTATTACATTGTAGTGTGATATCACTAATAATATTATTATTGTTTTATAATAAATTTTTAAAATATTTAAAATTAACATTTAAAGTTATATATAAGTTAACAGTGCATCACAAATGAATAAATTCTTTTGGCACTAAAGCTGCTGTCAAAGTATGATTATAAAAATAACACGAGAAAAAAATAAAGTAATGATTTTGCGATAATATAATATAATATAATAGATTGTAGAGAGAAATCCCGAAACTAATATAGATCTCTTAAAGAGTTATCTCATTATTGTTTGAGAAACGAAACTTTGGACTTTTATTAATTCTGATAAAAATTAATAGTAAATATGTTTAACCATTAAATCTCTATATCGGTCTCACAGACCGCTATTGAAACGTTAAGTACTTGTCAACCATTTTCTTATTTGTCACTTAAATATATTTTATCTTATTTGCCATTTAAATATATTTTATTTCTATTGTATACAAAATTTTTTTGTTAACTCTCACATTAAAACATAGCTTTCTTTTCCCCCATCACAAATATTCAGAAAACATACATTTTTATTATACATAACTTATAAAATTAGCGAGAGCATAATAGCGGTCTATCAGACCGACATTGTAGTTAGTGTGATTTTTTGGAATATGGTGGTTTAAAGGTTAAATAATTAAAAAAGTAAAAATCTATAATTTATATATTTATGGTTTGTTTCTATATAAAATTAGCTAAAGACAAATTCTACAAATGTGAAAATAAAATTCTTAAAATTTGCTTTTAGAAATTGCATAGTTTAAATAATTGTAAATATATTATTGATAATTATTGATTAGATTATTTTACATGTTTCTAACTTCCTAAACTTTTATTTATTTATTTTTTTTCTTATTTTTTTCATATTGCAGTTTTAAATATAAACAACTTACATGCAGTGTAAGTGCCGGTACATTTATTGATAAGATAGATCATAATTAGCTAATCTAATATATCTTTTTGCACTGTCACATTAATTGTGTCAAACAGCTTTATTAAAAGTATGCTGAAAGTAATGCTATTTACGGGAAAATCTTTTCTCAATGTAGCATTAATACAGTAGTGATCGTTTCATTAAACATTGTAGAAAAATAAGTCATTTCGGGCTTTTTGACTCACAAGGGTTCCCAAATGTAAATCTTATAACAATGCCAAATTTTAAAGATTTGTTTTTTTGGTAAACAGAAAGTAAAAGTCACCATTTATAAGCCCGGGCTACCATTGCGATATAAGCAAAAATATTCATATATATTTTTACTGATTATTGGCAATGTTATTCTTGTCAATTTTTGCTTTTTAGTAAAATAGTTTTTCTGGTTATATTAATATTACGAAATTTGTAATTTACATTGATGAAAATGGTGGAACCATTATGATAGACATGCATTTAAAGGAATATTCTAGTCTAGAACCCAAAATTGGTTCACGGTTCCCATAATTTCGGCTGTTCTACTTATTTAAAACAAAAAAATCAAAGAAATTCTTAATTAGGATGAGTTTGGCTATAACCAGCGGTACCAGAACGAAAAAAAATATATAAAATTAAAAAATTGACATTTAAAAAATTGAGTTTTAATTTTAGCAATTATTTTTCACCATTAAAGAGTTGTAAAAATTTTTAAAATATATAATTTGACTTGATCGTGGTAGGGGCTATAGCCACGCATAGGATGCTTAAGATGTGTCCACAAGTCCGATTTAATTGTTCAATTGTTCCTTGAGATATCAAGGAAACCAATTTTTTTCATAACCTCAGTATATATATTGTATACATTTATTTATAGTTATTGCAGCATTTACTTATAGTTATCTTTAAATACAAATATTAAAAAAACGTACAAATATGTAGGAAAAAACCTCGTTCCAAAAATATTTATATTTTCTTGTAAAAAAATTCGCAAAAATAGTATAAAAATTTTGGCCTTTAGACTAGAATACCCCCTTAAGGATGCACTAAAGATTGTACTTCAATTACGTACTGAAAATATATAGTTCATGTCACATACATATTAGATTTTCAGTGACACTCACAATGTTAGACCATAAGAAAAATCTCTGTAAAAATCTCTACAAAACTTATAAAAAATTAAATAATAAAGTAATAAAAAATACAAGTATTTAATAAAATTTAATCTAATAATAGCAAATACTGAAGAAGAATAGATATTAATTCGAACTCAATCGCGTATGTGTATAACACAAATAAATTTGAGATCCCTTTCTACGGTCACGGTTAGATCTTGGTGTCAATTCGCGATTCGTCCTCGTCGACCACATGAAAAGAAGCACCAGCGTCCAAAAGGCGAGTACAGACCTCGCGGTGACATTTCTTCGCGGCCACATGCAGCGCACTATATCTGCCATTGTTAACGACATTGATGGATGCGCCTCGCGATAACAATAGATCCACTATCTCCGGCTGATTGCTGTTTAAACAAAAAAAGGATATCGATGTTAGTTTGACATTTAGGCAGATTCAGGAACGACTTCAAACGTACCCGTATGCCGCGTAATACAAAGGTGTAAATCTGTTCTGATCGATTACATGCAAAGCAGCACCAGCGTCCAAAAGGAGGATGCAGACCTCATGATGACCTTGTTTCGCGGCTACATGCAGCGTAGTACATCTTTCGTTGTTAACGGCATTAATGGATGCACCTCTCGATAAAAGTAAATCCATTATCTCCGGCTTATTGCTGTTTAACCAAACGAAAAAACATCGATATTAGTTCGACGATATGACATATCTAGAAACGACTTCCAACTTACCCGAATGCTGTGTAATGCAAGGGAGTGTTTCCGACCTTGTCAACCACATGCAAAGAAGCACCAGCGTTCAGAAGGAGAGTGCAAAGTTCACGCTGACTGTTCTCCGCAGCGATATGCAGAACACTACGTCCGTAATTATCAATGGCATCGACGAAGGCGCCTCGCGATAAGAGCAGATTCGTTATCTCCATCTGATTACTGTTTAAACCAAAGAAAGGGTATCAATGTTAGTTTAACGTTACGGCAGATCCAGCAATGACTTCCAACTTACCCGTACGCCGTGAAATGTAAGGGCGTGTTTCCGATCTCGTCGACCATGTGCAAAGAAGCACCAGCGTCTAGAAGGAGGGTGCAGAGTTCACGCTGACTGTTCTCCGCGGCGATATGCAGAGCACTACGTCCGTAATTGTCAACGGCATCAACGGAAGCGCCTCGCGATAACAGCAGATCCGTTATC